TATTGTTATCATTCACAGAATTTCCCTTCAGGTTCTCCTAAGTCCTAGAAAACCTTCTAGAGAACTTCTTGAGAGAATACTGGTCAAAAAGATTTCAAAGACTTGGGAATTAACAGTGTAAAATCAAAGGGCATTAGACAGAAAGATAATATGTTATCTTCCTCAGAAAGATTATATGTTTTGCCAGAACATCTCATACTGCTACTTTCAGGCCTAAGAGTCCTTGGTCAAGTATGTGAAGTTCTTCTGAATTTGAAAGTTTACTACAATATTGTTAAAATTACTACAATATTGCACTCCTCTGAGTCAATCACAGGAGAAGTGATAACAAACCAACTGATAGTGGGGGAGAAAAAACATGATCTTGTAGACATCATTTACTGGGTTGAATAGCCGACCCGTCATCCAGTCTATTAACACTGCAGTCACTCACTATAACTTTTAACCTACATTGGCCACTGGCTACGTAATTTCAATGAGAGAATATAGTTTGTCAAAATACCAGCTTCTCCTGTTACAAATACCACTTGGATATTTTGCATGTCACTTCTGGAGGGACTGGTCACTTTCTGAAAATGTGTTGCAAACACCTCTCCAAAGTGACATGTCTTGTGTAATAGCCACAACCTCTCTCTTATTTTTGTACAGCAGAAAAGCAGTAAAACATATTTTAAATAATCCCACTTTATGTTTAAGCTCAGTGCTGCAGAAAGCTGTCATGATAATTTTGATTTCAAAGGCTGAAAGAAAGGGAAAATGACCTTTATTCCTGATATAACGTGAGTGGGTCATTTCTGTGATTGCTGTATAGAGAACTTTGATGTTTTCAAATAGAACCGTAGTATATTATTCACTGTTACTCTTGAGAAACCACACACAGAGCATAAATGTAACTTGAGTTTAGAAAAAAAATGTATGCACACACACAGACACACACATAAAGATCAACTTGGGTACTGGAGAGAATATTGATGTGCAGTAAACTGGAAGAATTTGATCTCTACATCCTCCCCTGTGTGCTTGGTTTTATTCCTTATGTCCTTTGAGCTGTCTGTTAGTTTAACATAGTGCCAGGTATCAGAATACTATACAAATAATACAGTGCCTCAGCTGAAGGAGACCACAAGAGCACACAAGTAATAGATATAAATTTAGACACACTCAAGACTAAGTGTTGCAAGAACAGTAAGGCTTCTGGCAAATTAGTTTGACCCTCACAAAATATATTTTTACTGGAAAATAGGAGTGGGATGCTTTTTAAGGACTGCATTAGCCAATACTGCAGTGCAACGACGTGAAGACAAAGCTGTGAAGGAAGTTGTATGTGATCAGCTGTAGGAATTCAAGTGAGATTGGCAAAGCAATCATACCATGCATATGAAAGTCTATGAGCACATTACTGAATACCAGAGAGCAAGGAGCAAAAAAGGCAGAGCAGCAATTCATTTTCTCTAGGAAATTATATCCATTACTTTTAAAATCTACACAATAGCTCAGGTGCAAAAGCAAGGAATGAAACAGTGTGATTAGGGCCACCTGCAGCCTACAGACCTGCTTACACCTGTATGGGAAATTTTCAGCAATGACATTTATTTGTCATTAAGAGCATGTTGTACTGCTGGTGTCGTTAGATTATTGAGCACTTCCCAGCTGGAATTGGTTGAAGGTGAAGAAATCCTTAGAAAACTTAATGAAATCCATAGTTCTCATACATTTCAATTGGGATTGTTTATTAACTGGTGTTATTGGCATAAGGTCAAATATTCAACCTGCTCCTGTTATCGTTTTAGTCTGTAAGAGCCTAGGGATATTAGTAGTAATTACTTAATTGGAATTTCCCTTCAAGTACATTTAACAAAACACCAAATATGAGAAACTAACTACTTGTAAGAAATTTGTGGTATGCCATCCTTGTATTTGGCTGTGTATGTTTTGCTAATAATTATTTCTTATCACTGTGTTGCAATTCCAAGAACCAGAATTTTAATGTTAGAACATTCTGTAGTTTTCCCTCACTCATTTAAAGTAGAGTCATGAGAAAACTCCAAAATCCTCAAAATGTAAAACAAGAACAAGAAAAAATTATTTAATACATTCTGTACATAATATTCCCAGCAGCTCACATACAAAACTGGTTGATTCTCTTGTCATTCTATCAAGATTGGATTGTCTGCTTACCATGTGAAACAAGAAACAGGGAGGATGTTACAAATCAAAAGGAGATATATAGACAAAAAATACTGGAAGGAAGATCAAGTGTATTTCTCATCTTCTCTATGTCATAATCTCTGACGTGTTGCCTAATTGCATTACAAATTGGTCTTGAAATATGTAATTTCCAATGTTTTTTGCTCAGTGATCAGAGAGAAGTAACTTTTTCCACTAAAATCAGATGACTCAGGGGCTGAATTAACATTTCAGAATACAAAATACTGCATACTACTTGGTCCAGTAAAGTATATTTGACTTAATATTATTCAACAGAGTAATTATGGAGAAGATACACAACCAAACAAAGTAAATTAATAGCAAATCTTAAAACTAGGGAGAAACATTTTACTTACATATCTAATCCTGTAGCGGGTTTGGCTTTCAATGGAAACAGAAACATATCCTCTAGCTGATCAGCTTTGCAGGAAAACAACCCAACTTCAGAACAGGAGTCCAAAACAAAAGGACTTGAAAGCTTTGCTGTTGTTACTGATGGGCTTCAAAAGTTCAGTTAGTTAAACGAATGAAGAAAATGACAGCATCTGCTGAGAAGGTTTGAAGAGTTTAAATAAGCACCTTGTGAAAAACTGCCTTACTGTACAATACTTTTCCTAACCATTTTGTAAGGAAAATATCTCCAAACCTAGCTTTATTATCAAGCCCTGAGGTGAAAGAAACCCTAGAAAGTCATATATTTCTTTCTGTAGCAAGGATGACACCCTTAGACCTGTTGAAGCAGGCTCTGTACTTGTACAAATTCTTTACTTCTTGAAAAATGTATTACAATGTATTTTTAAAATATGGTGTTTGGAACAGAAATAATGTGTGGATTCACCCTTTTGTCTCTCTACATTGCTGCTTTTTGTCCTAATCCAAAGGAGGAGTGTAAGTCATGTTTAGTCAGAAACCCCGGCTACAGATATAATTACTGAAGTCTAGGTCTTTGTAGTTCACAACTGGTTTCTGCGGAGATTGATCACTAGAATGTTTCATTTTGTTATGTGCACTAGATTACCTGAAGACAGGTCTTTTACTGTTGTATAAGAATTATCAGGACTTAGAAAAATACTCTTGAAATAAGAAGAGCCAAATTATTGCCATCGCAGGCCTGTTTAGTTGGACATCTTTGCTATTCCGCTAGCGCTCACTGCTCCCAACCTGACTTGGCTTCTTGCATTTGTTATTCTCTTTTCCCTTCTATGAAGTGCTTCAGTCCTTTCATTTACTAATGCACTAACAGAACAGCTATTCCACTACAGTTTTCTTTTCTTATTATTTTTAATGGTTTCTTTCATGTATCTTCTTAATGGTGTGGACACACAAACAGTCAAATCAGTAGGACTAAGGTAATGGCAATGGCAAGAGCAAGAATAAGAAGCACAGAGCATTGCAGGGGCAGGGTTTTCTTAAACTGGTTCCCAGCTGGCCTTCTCTGGTTCTCAGTTCTCATTTTCTCTTCAGAGAAGCAAGCGTAATTTATGGTAAAATATGACTGTTCCTCACCCAAACTCAGTTATAAGGAGGAACGAACAACAGAGTGATGGCTTGGGGATTCAGGCTCCTGAGGTTACAAATCTCTGCAAACTAATTAAAGACTGGTATTAAGTAATCATCACTCATCCCTGAGACCTGTATCTAAGCTAAAGAATACTCTTCAATATTTAGTTATTAGCCCATAAGTCTAACATGCATCAGAACTGCAGAATCAATGTGGGCAAATGGCAAGGAAGGTAGAGATACAGATGAACTGCCAAAAACTTAAACTTTTCCTACCTGATGGCTGCTAGATTCTAGGAATGAAGTGATTTTACTATTCAGCTATGTGCTTGCAAATAATTTTGTCTAATAATGTACTTACAAAATTACTGAGTAAAAAGTGTCTTGAAAAGCCATCAGCTTGGCTGTAACCTACCTCTGAGTAATGCTGTGGAAAAAAAAAAAATAAAGAAGATGGGAGAGAAAAGCTCTGTTTTCACTCTCTTTGTTCTGCATTTGTATGAGGATGAAGTAGGCTGCACTGCAGAACAGTAGTTTGTCACAGGAGATATCTCAGCTGATATAAAGAAATAACCTTGTCACCTTCTGTATCCTTTGCTGAAGTTAACATGTCATTATGCTTCTGGTATTTTATGGTGAGACACTGAGTCAAACTAACATTTCTTTTGTCTTTTTAGTGTTCGTCCTCATTCTCAGAACCTTGACCTCTAGGAATAATGTGGATTAAGCATCTGTTCTCTCTGGATTTTAGATATTTGCACCTTTACTAGGGACTTCAAAACAGGAGTGTAACCATGTTCTTGCTAACCCTGGTGTAAAATAGGGATCATTACAATACAGTCAGTGGAATTACTCTGGCAGAAAATGGGGGTAAATGGGGCTCTGGATTGTCCACAGATTTTCAGACAATTGGAAAAGATGTTGCAGTGTGTCCTCCAATTACTATTAACAAAAGTGCTCTTCCCCACATAGCCATTTTTCTCAAAATGCCAATTTCTTTTGAGCTCTGCTTCCCATTAAGACTTCTCCTGAATGAGGGCAAATGAGAGTGATGTTCACTTTCATCAGCTGAGCAGTATGAGAGGACTGGCCTTGCTATTACTATGCACTCACAAGCAGCTCAGAAGCAATTGAAACACACTTGGTTGTCTAATTTGAAACTCTGAAAAAATAAAGAAAAGGTTTTTTAAGGCTCAGCTCAGTAAGAGAATAGCCTGTGCAGCAGCATTTAAAACTTTCAAGTGCTTTTTGGAACAAAATTCTTGATAAGAATTTTTCTCTCTCTTTTCTAGCATCCAAGATCTGCTATATTTCTCCTTTGAGAATTCATAACAGCAACAGATACTTTAGATGTAAGGTAAGAGCTGTGAGAAAAGGGTTTGCCTTTGTTGTTATTAATAAACACGATCAATTTGTACGGCAAAAAGTAGACCTGGTCTTGGTAGGTGGGTGAAGTGTAATGTTCAGATAAACTGCACTGTAAAACAAACTGTGAGCTTTGAACAGTGATCCCAGTCTGGCCAACAAACTAAATAATAAATTTCTGCACTGAGGTCTCTTGGTAAATTAATGAGTGAAATCTGTTGGGTCTTGTCCTTCCTGAGTCTGGGAGAAGTCTTGCTTATGGTCAACGAGCACAGATATGACTTGGGCACTCAGAGCTAACCCAGTGGCCAGGGTCCTGGCAGTCTGTTTAAACAAAAACAATTTTCATCTCTGTAATGTCAAATTTATATCTATTTAAACTCCCTTATATATGCTTAGATTAAGAGTGACAGAATCTAATTTAGGAAATGTTATTAATCAGTGCTGAATCAAACTCTGTATCTGTTTTCTAAGGGAAGTTAAATAAAGAGATGTCTTGTTCATATTTATGAGGGATTTTCCTCTACCTCAGAAACCTAGCTTCTGGTTTATTGTTCCTAAACAGCTTCTCAAAGGAAAGTGGGCCAATAAGCTGGAATACATTGACACATGTATTTTTTGTGTCAATACATAAGCAGCTGCCAGCTGAGGAGTACCCAGCACCAGACCTCTTGGACTGGAGTGTTTGCTTGCTCTGTACCTCACCCAGCAAAACCATGTCCAAGGGGAGAGAATATGCACGTAATGGAAAACCTTAACAGTTTATTGCAAAGTCTGTGCTTTATCAAATTTAATGCATTTATTGGTACAGTTATTCTTGTGCTTTTTCTGTTTATAGGCCAGTTATTGCCCATCTGGTCTTATCAGAATTCATGAACAGTAGAGTTTGGAAAAAATTATGATGGCCAAATACATTTTTAGTGCTAACATGAAGATGTGGTTCTAAAACAAAACAGTTACAAAAATTTATAGGAAATTTTCTATGGAGAACAGTTGAGTCAAAAGGATTGAGACTGAGGCAGTCTGATTTCTAAGTGGCTTTCATTTACTTTAGCAATCATGCTGAACTTACTGTTATGGCTAAAGTAAATAAAAATTGTTTGTGTGAGAAAATATTTACTATTTTGCATCCTTGTAGTTTAAATCCTTGTTGGTAAAAAATCTGGTGGAAATCTGCAGTAACCTTCAGTGTCTACAGAGAGTAAAGATTCTTCATCAGGAAATCTCAAAATACTACACAAACCCCAAAAGTAGTGGCTTTGTTTTTACGGGAGAAAATGATAGAGAGTTTGTTCAGGCCATACATCTGAAGCTCTATCCATTTGGGTTTTTACTCTCTTAAAAAGTTCAGTATAGGTATTTTATATATATATGATATACATTGTGTGTGTGCTTTTTGGGTTTCCATCAAGTTTAGTCAGTATGAGTAGAGTCTCATATGTCTCCATATGAATACAAAGATGATGATCTGGGTTTCATGAAAAAAAAAACCCAGCTAAAATCCATCCCGACCTGTTTGGAAACTCATGCCTTCATATGAACTTGATCAGTGTTTTCCCCTTCACTTTGTCTCTTCTTATTACCTTAAATTTGAAAGAAATTCCAGTATTTTGATTATAGCTACTGTATGAATTCAGTTAAAGGAATTCCAATTACAGTGAGCTACAGGAAAACATTTTACAGAATCTTACCGTAAAGTTGTGTATGTCAGAGCCTGAGCATTTCATGAGATTTCATACACGCTCAGTCAATGTTGCTGTTTGTCTGCGTCAGTGAGGGGATCTAGTGTTGTAGGGGCTGCAGGGAGGTGTGTGCACACTCAGGGTGCTCCACAGAGCCTCTGAGCCCTTGTCCTTGAGAGGTGTCATATGGATGTAGGACTCTTTTCAAATTAATAGAATCCAAATTACTGGGCATAAGATGATGAAATTAAAAGCTTCAAAGCTGCTTGACATGAATTCTCTTTTAAAATTGATGTAATCAGTGGGAGGAGAGTTTTTCAGGTGTTGATTTTTTAACTCCAAAGTTAGCAGAAATAATTATATTTCTTGGCATTTCTGTCTGTTGGAAGAATGATACTAATAAACCTACCTGACATCTTCAAATTATCACATTGCTAAGTCATTGTCTTTAAAGTATTTCTAAATATTATTTTTTGTTGTAATCATGTCTAGTGGTTAACACGTAGGCTTGAAACAGAACCTTCCATCAGGGAAATTAGCATTTTAGTCTTACATGTTTAACATTTCTCATCTTACCATTTTAAAGAGAAGAGTTTATCAAACCCGTTTTAAGAAACCAATGTGCACTGACTGAAGGAATGTGATCTAGTTCTGTTTACTACCATTCAAAGTGTAGAAATGCAGAGATACCCTGGATAAGATAGACACAGACAACATTGCTGGAGTGGTTTTGCAGGATTGCTTAAGTAGATTTACCTATTCTTGGAGGCCTCCTTAACCTTGCTTCATGGCTCCTTAATGAGACTACTGGTAAAAATTTCAATATGAGCCTTTCAAGTATGACAAGACTGACTGCAAACAGCTCAGTAGCACTCAGAGCACATCTTTGATTCTCTGGTTTACCTACTTGACTCTATTCAGTCTGTCTCTTCACAACAGCCTGCCTAAATAACCTTGAGAAATGTAATTATACACTCACTATTGATTAGTAAGGATCCATATTTAATTATGCGTAACATGTTCCACTTTTAAACTTTTAGTTCTTTGTGCATCAACACTTCATGTCAGATTGCAGTTTACTTTCAGCCATTACAGTAATGATCTTCATAGGAAAATGAGGCTTCCTCCTTCCTTAAATTGCTTAAGGAACAGACTTATTTCCAGCTCCTCTATCTGCATACAAGCCAACATCCTCCCTTTGGTGCAGAAGTGTGACCAGTCATTCCTCACTGAAGGGTTTTATTCATAATTTTTGCTAGGAAAATAGTTTTGCTGAGGCAGTGCTTTGAGGTCTTTGCATTGAATCTGTACTGCAGTCTCAAGGGACCATGTCAGTTAAATTTGGACCTATTGCTGTAGCAGTTTCTTTATTTTTAGTTCACAAAAAGTGTTAAATAATAATAGTATAAGATCACGTACTTGAGCAAACCTAAAGTCTTCTCTAACCTGTTTCTATTTACAGCAAAAAAAAAAAATAAACTTTTTCAGTAGAACAGGAACATATAATTAAAAATTTCATCATACTAAAAAATATCTGACTTTGCAGGCAGTCTTCTTAGAAGTAATATGTGATGATTTGCTTCCCGTTAAATAAGGAATTGTGCACAAAATAAAACTTACTTTACAATATTTTTCTCAAGCAGGAGCCTAATTGAATCTTCCTTCAAGAAGAAATCTAATCTATGATCCCTAGAGATGCAGATTGAAATTCTTTTTTCTGAATCTGCATCCCCCCATGGGTGGGGTTTGGGATTTTTTGTTAGTTCAGTGAAGAATAAAAACCAGAGGACTTTAGTCTCTATATCTGGTTCACATATTCTCTGAATTGGAAAAAAGGTCATGACAGCAACTCACATCATTGTAGTACTCCCAAAATCCAGACCTACCTGACTGCAGTTCAGCACTAGATCTTTTTCAATCCAAAACATGGGCTGATTGTTACTGATAATTCAGGGTCAAATTTCGAAGCATCAAGCTCAGTGCTAATGGAATTAACTTGCAATGAAAGAAAATTAAAAAATCTCTCCCCTGTGATCACCTTTGTCTTCTTTCTGAAATAACTTCTACAGACTTTATATAGTGTGATGTTATTTGAAGGAGCATCCTTGCTTGCATACATGAATCCAACCTGCCTTAATATGACAACCTCATAGGAATCAGGGCTCTTCGCTGTAAAGAAGCTGTGCAGCCATTCCATGTTCCTTGTTGTCTCTTGGGAGATTTGTTTGCTACCAAGGCAGTGCATGGGCGAGTAAAAGAAGAATGAATGTGTCCTCAGAAGACACCATTACAAAATAGTCCCCTATGCAGAAATCGTGACATGAAAATGTACCGATGAGTTCATTGCCTAGTGGGGCTATTTCTGGCATGTTTACCCTCACCTCTTCCTCAGAGCTGTGCCTACTGTAAGCAACTAGTTCTGAAAGTTTGCTTAAGATAGCAGTGCAGTGTTAAGCAGTGGAAGCATTTTCCTTTGAATATGGCTATCCCCCAAAAGAAAACAGGTATGAGTGGCTCGTTTGTACAATAAAGCCAGTTGTTAATATGTTCTGGGAGCTGTTTCAATCCAGGATAAGTGGGGGAACATTATCACTAGAAAGTGCTTTTAATAGCAAACGATTTGTATGAAGCAACAAAAAGAAAGAGATTACAAGAGAAATGTAAAGATCAGGTTCAAAAGCGTATCAGAATAATTTATAGGGCTATAGCAGAGATTAACATACAGTAGTTTCATGGGGCCCTGTTTGTGCTGAGACCATCTCTGGTAAACTGTAAAAATGCCTAAAAATCTACTACAAGGCATGATTCTGCCATGACTGAACTGAGAATGAGATACTCATCCTCTAGATGATAAAGGAGGTACAATAATAAGTCATTATAAATGAGAACTGACTATGGTTTTCCTTTACATTGAACAAGAAGAGAATGAGAAAAACAGTAGCATTTCAAAGGCTTGTCCATTCTCTGAGCAAGAACTAGGTCTCCAGATCTTCCAGTCTGTCTTGGTCAACAGAAAAAGAAATCCACTGTGAACGCTTGTTTTAGAAAATCACGTATAAATATAGTAAAAGCTAGTGGATTTTGAAAAGATCTGCGAGCAAAAGGCAAAATACATGTAAGGTTCAAATATCAGAATATGGGTTGTATTAATTAAATGAAACATTTTGTATGCTAGGAAGCAGATACTAAAAAGACGTTGTTTTACAGTCAGAACATGAGTTGTTGGTACTACATATTTTCCTGCTAGTAAAAAATTCTGATTGAAATGCTCTCTTTTCTAGTACTATTGATTAGCTCTGGTATGTTCTGC